AGATGATGCCATCTGCAAGGTGTGGGATCGACGCACCATGCGGGAGGATGACCCTAAGCCTGTGGGTGCACTAGCTGGACACCAGGATGGCATCACCTTCATTGACAGCAAGGTAAGCAGGAAGGCCGAACAGTGCAGGCAGGCTGCAAAGGTTCTGATTTCCTAGAAGCACATGACAATGGACTACTGTGAGAACTTGACAAACTTCTCGTTAGCCAGAGTGTTAAGAGCTTAGGAAAGTGTCTCAAGCTAAGAAACATGAGCTCTCTTTTCCCACCAGTCCTTAAGCAGCAGGGCAGGGTTTCTTCATAAGAAATGTAGAAGACAGTCTAATCCGGACAAAATAGGAGGCCCAACCAGTGCTCTGGCAGAGAAAGGAAAGTCTATCCAAGGGATGGAATCTGAAATAGAGCATCAAAAGCAAGGAGGTAAGAAAAGTCAGGACTAGCATTCTTAGCTTACAGGTAGAGCAAGGGGACTAGACTGATTGGCACTGACATGGGAACATTCTGGTACTCCATTGTTCATCTTTGGATTCGTAGGGTGATGCTCGGTATCTCATCTCAAACTCCAAAGACCAGACTATCAAGCTCTGGGATATCCGACGCTTTTCTAGCCGAGAAGGAATGGAAGCCTCACGCCAGGCTGCCACACAGCAAAGCTGGGACTATCGCTGGCAGCAGGTGCCCAAAAAAGGTGAGAGTAGAAATAGACCTGAGATCTGGAGATTGAGGGTCAGGGGTAGTAGTTAAAATACTTTATCACTAATAGGACCTGGCATGGGCCCCTTGAATTTATAGGTAGCCTGCGAGTCCTAGAACCCTCCCACAACCTGCTTGTCCCAGCATTAACCCTTTTTTTGCTGAACCAGTTTTAATATTGTGTTTTAATATTGTGATCGCAGGGCCATACTGGTAACTGCCAACTCTTACATAATGAAACAATCATTAGTTAATTTTAGAAAGGCATTTGACCCTGAGTCTTTTGTTAAGGGCTGTGGGTTCAGGACAGTCCAGAAGCAGACTCCCTAATCTTGAGTTTTCTGTTCATTGTTACCCAGCCTGGCGGAAGCTGAAGCTCCCTGGGGACAGTTCCTTGATGACTTACCGGGGCCACGGGGTGCTACATACCCTCATCCGATGTCGTTTCTCCCCTACTCACAGTACAGGCCAGCAGTTCATCTACAGTGGCTGCTCCACTGGCAAAGTGATTGGTAAGGGTTTTGTCAGATGGGCCTCCGAAAGGGCAGGATATTTTTTGGCTTTTCCCTTGTACCCATGGTGACCACCTTAAAAAATCTAATGGGGACTATATGTGCAATTTATTTTGCTAGAACCAAGGGAAGCTTAAGCAGAGAAAGAAAAACTGTTCTATTTATGAGCACTTTAAGAAAAGAAACATAGGATTCTAGTCAGTAAATATAGTAGACTACCAAAAATATAGTTGGTTCTGTTTTTTAGACAGTCCAGGAAAGGATTTACAGTTGAAAGGTAGGAGGGAACCGAGGCAAAGAAGATGACAAAGAAAGACAGCATTGAGTAAAAAAGGGCGCACATTCAGAAACACAAGCAGAGCTGTGGATAGGAGCTGCCAGCATGCTGCAACAGGCAGCTACTCAGATAGAGACCCAGGCTGTGAAAGAAAGATGCATCCTATCCAGATGAGGAGCCACAGGTGCACACACCTGAGGACAGCCTGGGGTTCACTTTTGCTGCCTTCCATATCATGCTGAAAGCTTTAAAGCCACTGAATTTTCTTAACTGTAGGCCTCTGAATTTTAATGAAGGGCCAGGAATACCCACACTGCACTACACCATATCCTCAACCCAAGGTAGGAAAAGGAACATTGAAAAAAACATAAATAATACCATTCTCTGGGTTGAGTTTGCCCCTGGGAAAGTGGGAAGTTGCCCAAGAAGTAGGTCAGTGGTGCCCCTTGGGCAGCTGAGGGGTGGTTTGGAGGTGCCATGGCAGTTCTTCTCCAGCTTGGCCTTTCCTGCACAGTTTATAACCTCCTGAGCGGTCACATTGTGAAGAAGCTGACCAACCACAAGGCCTGTGTGCGTGATGTCAGTTGGCACCCCTTTGAAGAGAAGATTGTCAGCAGTTCGGTGAGCTTCACATTGTTAGGCTCCAGTATGTAGGTGGGACTTGGCCCTGGGAAGAAGTACCCCCTGACGCTTGCCACCTTCTGCTCTGCAGTGGGACGGGAACCTGCGTCTGTGGCAGTACCGCCAGGCTGAGTACTTCCAGGATGACATGCCAGAGTCTGAGGAATGCTCCAGTCCTCCCACCCTGGTGTCCCACCCCTGCACAGCCTTCTCCTCACCCCAGTAGATGATCTTCAGTCTATTACAGGGTGAACCTTTCACCAAATTCTCTGGCTCCTCCTCCCTTTGCTTCCTGGGGAATATGTGGAGGAATCACTGGCATTGGATGGCATATAACTAGCCCAGGCTGTGGGCCCCAGACAGCCCTGAAGATCCACTCCATGGGCTGACTGGTCTCCTCATGCACTCACACCCATTCTGTATGGGTCTCTATCTCTGATCTGGGTCTGGTAGGAGCCTTTATCTGAGGTGTGGCCTCTGCCATCAAGAGAACTATCCTGAGTGTTTTGAATCATGTTTGGATGTTAGGCGTTGGCTCCTAAAGTAGACACCTAAGGTTGGGTCTGAGTAGACCTGTCATCCAGGCCCATTGCCCAGGTTGTCACATTGAGGATTAGATTGGCCTCTCAGAGGCCCAAGTGTCCTGGACTTGCTTCCTAAGGTCTTCGGGGAAGGGCAGGGTGAGTGAAGGTATCTCCTCACCACCTCCTGGGTTGGGAATAAGGTCTCATTACCATGCCTGTCTGGATCACTGGGTTTGGACAGGCTGTGGTGTGATAGGCGGGAGTTTCGAAAGCTCCCACACAGAGCAGGTCCTAACTTCCTAGAGGCTCCTGTTGTGCTGGAGGCCAGTAGCTTCAAGGGTGGAAAGTGAAGTAGGACTCCTTCCTCCTCTTGCTGGCTTTGGCTCCCTCAATAAACTCTCTGTGGGAACCTGGCTTAGTGTCACTGTCTCACTGTTTTTCCTGTCTGAGAGCTTTTGTCCTCTTACTTCAAGAAAATAGTTGCCACAAAATCTTCAGATGAATGGAAGTACTAAAATCATTTATTAATTGAGCTTTGTAATAGACTCCCTCACTAAGCTCAAAAGTCTTCCAGCACATACCCATGGAGGACTGTGGAGGTGTTATATTGGAGCCTAAGAATACCTGCACCTCCTGTGCTCTGGAGCTGCTCCAATCGTAAGAGGTGCTCATAAGACTGAGAAGGTGGCTCATAAACACAGCCAGAAAACCTGGCCTGCACTGCTCCATCTAGCTGCCTCTCCTCAGAACCTTTGGCCCCAGAGCAAACTGAACAAAGGTCATGAGGGGATGTGGTTCACACGCCACTCTGCCTAGAACTTACCCACAGCATTGTCATGCTCTCTAAGCAGTTTTCAAACCAGGATACACACTTTTGGGATGCTCATAGACTGTCACAGAAAGAGGTGGCGGGGTGCTGTTATGATTTGGATCTAGAGTACCCCTAAAAGCCTTGCATTCAGAGATAGGGTGTTTGGAGGGTGACTGGATCAGGGGAGCACTGTAGCTGACTTAGTCCTAGGGGTGTAGGTAGTCAGAAGAAGCAAGTTAACTGTGGTATGACCTGGAAGGAAATCCCTCCCCAGCTTCTCCCCCATCTCTGCTTCCTGTGAGCGGGTCTTCCTCCGCAGCCTCTCCACCATGCCCTTCCTACCTTGGAGCCAGCCAGTTTTGGACTGAAACCTCTAATACCATGAGCCCAAATAAACCTCCCTCCAACTTAAGTTTCAAGTGTTCTGCCTTCACAGTGAGGAAAGTGGCTTAAGGCAGATACCTATTTCATAGCCAAATAGGGTTCAGGATTTGTTTTAGGCCTTTGTTTTTGTTTTAAGGTGAGGTTTTGCAGTGCTGCCCAAGCTGGTCTCAAACTCATGATTCAAACTGTTCTCCTGCCTCAGCCTTCTAAGTATGTGGGACCACTGGCATGAACCACCATGCCTGGCTCCAAATTGATGTCCAGATTCTTGGCCTCTTGGTGTTTCTTTCCTCAATCTGCCTAACGTGAAGCTGTCATGTCAGATCTCCTTTCCCACATGCCCTTTCACTTCTCTGCCACTTCACCACTAAGTGCTGTCCAGCTCACTCACCTAGACCTACCTGTATTACATTCGGGGTGTCAAATTAAGTGGCAAATTAAAATTGTATGCTCAAAACTTCGTATCATCAAGGTGCATCATCTATTCCCCATAACAGGCATTTCCAGCACAATTTTATGTCGTGAACAAAATGTATAAACTTTTTTTTCTTTTTTGAGATAAGGTCTCCCTGTATGGTTCAGGCTGGCCTCAAACTCAAGGTAATACTTCTGCTTCAGCCTCCTGCGTGCAGGATTACAGGTGTGTACCACCATGCTTGGCTCATAAACTTTTTTTGCACTATTATGGTTTTTTTTGTCTTTTTCCTTTTTATCGGTACCGGGATCGAACTCAGGACTGCCTGCTTCCAAGGTAGGCGCTTATGCCACTGAGCTAAATCCCCAGCCCCACTATTATGTTTCATACTGGTAACAATTTTGAAAATTCAGTCCAAAAATAGTTTTCAATTCGGAAGAAAAAAAAAACTCTTAGGACATTATAGTCACAAGAAATTTTTTAAAAATTAAACTGCATATTATGTGTTATTTTTTTACTAAGTATGATAAATGATTTATCAAAGACTGATTATAAACACATTAGGATAAATTCTCAGAAGTATAATGGACACATGATTTCTAATGTAAACTTTTTTATCCTGGTACCAGGGATCAAATTCATGACCTCACACATGCCAGGCAGGAGCTATACTGGTGAGTTATGTCCCTGGCCCCCTAATTTAAACTCTTGTAACATGTTTTTATTTATTTTGTTTTGTAATTTTTCTTTTGTCATTTTTGAGACAGGGTCTCACTATGCAGTTCAGGCTGGCCTTCATCTCATTTGGTAGCCCAAGCTCGTCTCCAACTCTCAACAATCCACCTGCCTCAGTCGCCCAAGTGCTGGAATTACAGGTGTACACCACTGCATTACAGGTGTACACCATTATAGCATGTTATTTAAATGGATAATAGTAGGGCTGGGGATTTAGCTCAGTGGCATAAGCACCTGCCTTGCAAGTATGTGGTCATGAGTTCGATCCCTGGTACTGCTAAAAAAAAAGGATAATAGTGAAGTATCTCATTACTGTAGTATTTAGGTTTCATTGGATATATTTAAAAGATTGATATAGGACTAAGAATGTAGCCCAGTGGTAAAGCACTTGCCTAGCATACAGGAGACCTTGGTTGGATCCCCAGCATTACAAGAAAATACAAGTGCTATGATATGAAATGTCAGCATACATAACTCACTGGAAAATAGATCCTTTTCAACTATTTAAAATTATAGTAAAGTATTTTATGAGCACATAAAAATGTGAGAGAAGGCCTGTTGATCTTCAAGACTTTTCAGTGCTGAGTTCAAACCAGGGCCTTTCCATTCTAGGCAAGCACTGAGCGACTCTCCAACCTTCTAAAACTTTTTTTTTTTAATATATTGTTCACTGTATGACAGAGGGTCTCATCAAGTCTCTAAATTTCTTAGGCTGGGCTTGAACTTGCAAGTCCTCCTGTCTCAGCCTCCCAGAGTGCTGGAATTTGAGGCATGTATCACCATGCCCAGGTTCAAAACTCTTAGAGTGATAAGATTTGAAGGCCACTGTGTCACAGTGTGGACTTTAGGATTTGGTAGGAGCCTGACTGGTTATCTAATCTATCTTGATCAGTTTATAAATAAGACACTGAGGACAGAGAAGAGTTAGTTGATTTTCCCCAAGTCACATAGAGTTGGGTTCACAACCCATGTGTCCTTGTTTGCTCGTGCCTTTCAGTACCTCCGCTGTCCTCTGAAATCCCACCCCCAGTGTTGGGAATGAGGAAGAAAAACAAAAAGTGATCTCGAAACAGCTCAAAAAAGTTAACCAGGACTTAGAGGGTTGGTTATTCTCCACCCTGCTGCTTCAGTCCTGATCAGTCTGGGAGTCTGGTAGGGGACAAAACCTAAGGTTTTGATGGACTGCAGATGGCACATTTTTCCTAGGATCTCTTCTTCCCCATCACCTTAGAGTAAACCTGATCTTTAGGGCCATGAGTGTGTCAACCTGGTTGCCATCATTTCATTCTGGATTCCTTCTCAGGACACCTACATTTCATGTGTTGATCTTCAGGCACAAACAGTGCCCATTACATATGATGCCTTTTTCATTCATTGCACAACTATCAGTTTGCATGGCAGCCCTGGGCCACCCAGTCCTCAAAAACCCCTCAGTCCAGACAGGAGCCAGAACTTGGCCAAGCCGTTATAGTCACAGCACAGTGAAGTGGTACCCTTGCCAATGAGTCTCCACGGCCCAAGGTGGACACACAGCTCTGTGTACCCACCTTGCTGCTCAGAGTCCCCAAGGAAGGAACAGACCTTCTAAAATTTGTTTTAATGATTTTTGATTTTTATCTTTATGACCTCTGATTTCTCTGTGGAACAAAAACACATAGAAACTTTGGCTGACCACACTGAGGCAGACACTAAATAGGACATGGCCAAGGGCAGCCCTGAACAGCAGCCCTGGCCTTGAGATGTGAACTGGAACATGGCTGGAGCTGAAGACACAGGGCCAACAGGAAAGGACTCAGGCTGCTGTCAGGACACTGCTGCACACCCGACGCCAGGACCCTGCTGATGCAGCAGCCCTCCACCCTGGCCCCTTACTGCCCCCCGCCCCCCTCCCCCGCCTGCCAGCTGCCAACAGGGCTCTGCCCTGTGTCTGCCACACCTGTCACTGCCTGTCCTTGTCCCGGGGGGGAGACCCATCAGCCCCTCCTCAGCTGCCTAGCAGAGCAGGCAGTTAGTGGGGAGGGGAGGGAACATGGAGCGGGGGCCTGTGGTGGGGGCAGGGCCGGGGACCGGGGCCCGGATCCGGGCACTACTGGGCTGCCTGGTCAAGGTGCTGCTCTGGGTGGCCTCTGCCTTGTTGTACTTTGGAAGCGAACAGGCTGCCCGCCTCCTAGGCAGCCCCTGCTTACGGCGCCTCTACCATGCCTGGTTGGCCGCGGTAGTCATCTTTGGGCCGCTTTTGCAGTTCCATGTCAACTCCCGGACTATCTTCGCCAGCCACGGCAACTTTTTCAACATGTGAGTCCACTCAGGTGTGGGAGCTAGCTCTCTGCACTCTGGGATCGAAGTTCCCTTCTCCAGGATTCTGTTCTCTTGCCAGTCTTTACACTAAAAATAGGCATAGAGGTTGAGGTCAGGGGGAGGGGGAAGGACACCAAGCCCGGGGGAATGGGAGCAGAGTAGGGCTGAAGAGGAAATGTGGACCCTAGAATGCGGAATGGTCCTCTAAGAAGATGCCAACTTAAAAATGGCTGGGGTTGGTAAGGGGCACGGGAAAGAGAACCAGTGACTCTGCAGAACCAGGGACTAAGCAGTGATGGGAACACGGACCAGGATGGGGGATGGGGCCAGTGGATCTCAGTAGCCTTCGTTCTTCTCTGCCCACAGAAAGTTTGTGAATTCAGCATGGGGCTGGACATGCACCTTCCTGGGTGGCTTTGTGCTGCTGGTGGTGTTCCTGGCTACTCGGCGTGTAGCAGTGACTGCCAGGCACCTGAGCCGACTAGTGGTGGGGGCTGCCGTGTGGCGGGGTGCTGGCCGAGCTTTCCTGCTCATTGAGGACCTGACTGGTTCCTGCTTTGAGCCTCTGCCCCAGGGCCTGCTGCTCCATGAGCTGCCAGACCGCCGCAGCTGCCTGGCAGCTGGCCACCAGTGGCGGGGGTACACAGTTTCCTCGCACACCTTCCTGCTCACCTTCTGCTGCCTGCTCATGGCCGAAGAAGCAGCAGTATTTGCCAAGTACCTGGCCCATGGGCTGCCTGCTGGCGCCCCCCTGCGCCTTGTCTTCCTACTCAACGTGCTGCTGCTGGGCCTCTGGAACTTCTTGCTGCTCTGTACCGTCATCTATTTCCACCAGTACACTCACAAGGTGGTGGGCGCTGCAGTAGGCACCTTTGCCTGGTACCTCACCTATGGCAGCTGGTATCATCAGCCCTGGTCTCCAGGGAGCCCAGGCCATGGGATCTTCCCCCGCACCCACTCCAGCCGCAAGCATAACTGAAAAGAAATAAAGGCACAGCAGCCTGGCTCTGTCTTCTTTCATCTTTAGTTTGGGGCCTGAAAAGGGTGGGGAGGGTAAGAAAAAGTTCTGGGCTTCTTCGGTCATTCTTTGCTTTCATCAGTCTTAAATGGTCTGACCTGTGAACTCATCCCTTCTATTATCTTTTCAGTCTTTTGATCTACAGACTTCTACCTATCTGAGGCTTTTTTTTTTTTTGTTTGTTTGTTTCTTTTTGAGACAGGGTCTCACTGCATAGCTCAGGCTAGCTTTGAATTTACCATGTAGCTCAGGCTGACCTTGGACTTGCAGTGGTCCTCCTACGTCAGCCTTCCAAGTGCTAGGATTATCAGCAAGCATCATTGTATCAAATAATGGTATAGCAAGGAATGGTGGTACAAGCCTATAATCCCAGCACTTAGGGAAACCGAGACAAGAGGATCACAGTTTTGACCCCAGCCTGGGCAGTTTGTAGCTTAGCAAGACCCTGTCTGCAAGAATAAAAGCCAAATGTAGTACACGCCTGTAATCCCAGCACTTCGGAAGCTGAGGTAGGATTACTGCAAGTTCAAGGCCAGTTTGGGCTACAGAACAAGTACAAGGCCAGCCTGAACTGCATAATGAGACCCTGTCTCAATAAATAAATAAATAAATAAATAAATAAATAGTGCTGAGAGCTGGAGATAGCTCAGAGTGAAGGCCCTGGGTTCAATCACAAGTACCACAAAATGCTGCTAAGGTAGATAACAGTGCCCTTAGGGATGTGTGTGTGTGTTCTTCATGGAGCAGGTATTAATTTTTCCTGCCACCTCTTCTGAATCTCCCTTCTGCCTCAGGGACCAGCTTGCCTGGCCACCCTAGACAGGGACACTGTCTCCTTTAATGGGGGAGGGGGTCTATGTGTGCTTAATTATTTAACAAATGTTTATGGAGCCAAGCATAGTTCTACACCTTATAAGGCAAGGTTCCTGTTGTTTGGAGATATATGAGCTAACTGAAAGAGGCAGGTGATAAATACACAAAAATATAAACACTTGCACTGATCATACTCTATACCGGGTCCCGTTCTAAGTGTCTATAATTTATTTATATATAAATTAACACATTAAGCCGGGCATGGTGGCTCATGTCTGTAATCCCAGCACTCAGGAGGCTGAGGCAGGAGGATCATTGCAAGTTCGAGACCAGCCTGGGCTACAAAATGAGCTCAAGGCCAGCCTGAACTGCATAGTGAGACCTTGTCTCAAAAAGACAAAAAAAAAAAAAAAAAAAAAAAACTTTTAATGTTCATCAGTAAGGTGAATTTAGTAGCATTCTTATTGTACAATATGAAAACAGGCAGAGGTTAATTAACTTGTGCACAGCTAACAGAGGATCTAGGATTGCATATCCCAGCCCTGCTATGGCCAGTTTTGTGTGGTTTGTGAGCTAAGGTAGTTTTTATATTTTAAATGTTTTAAATGGTTTTAAAACATGAAGTAAGCTGAGCGTGGTGACATATGCCTGTACTCCCAGCACTCAAGAGACTCAGGCAAGAGGACTGATGTAAATTCAAGGCCATCCTGTGCTACAACTTGAGTTCAAGGCCAGCCTGCACTTCATAGTAAAACCCAGATCAAACAAAACAACCCCCCAACACCCACAAATCAGGTTGGGGATACAATTCAGCAGGCAAAAGCGCCTGCCTGGTAAGATCAAGGTTCTGAGTTTGATCCCTGGTACAAAAAAAAAAAAAAAAAAAAAAAAATTTCATGATGTGAAAACTGCATGAAACTCAAATTCTACAACCTATAAATGTTTATTATAACCCAGTTGCACTAATTCTTGCACGTGAGATGTTTCTTTTTACAGTGGCAAAATTGGGTAGTTGCTACAGACACTCTAAGGCCCACAACACCAAAAATATTTACCATCGGACCACCTACAGGAAAACTGCCCAATCCTTGTTTAAAACCACTACATTACCCAGTCTCAAAAAATAAATGGCTAATATTAGAAAGAAACTGCTTCGAAGGTACTTAAAAAGGCTGATTTGTAATAGACTTGGAGGGCTATACTTCATAAAGGGTGATGGAGAAAGTTACCTCTGAAGAGGTGACATTTGAGCAGAGAACGGGATGATGACCCTGGGCGGGCGGTGGGGTGGGGATAGGGAGTGGTTCAAGCCAAGGGTTTCTCAAGGGCACAATCCCTGAGGCAGGAGTGAACAGAATGACTTTGAGAAACAAATGGAAGTCCAAGTGTAAAGAATGAGAGGGAGGGCAGTAGAAAGTGAATTTGAAAGGGCAGGCAGGTGTCAGGCAGATTATGAAAGAAAGACTTTGGATTTTATTCTAGAAAGGCGTGAAGCCGTTGCTCTGGGAGGGTGGGCTATAAGGGAACCGCGTTTGCAGCAACGGTCCTGGAAGAGCCGACTGGGCTTGACCAGCGATGGTGCCGCCGCCTGTGTGTCACTTCGTGGGACAGAGGATGCCTGTGGAGCCAGCAGACTACATTGGCAAGGCTAGGAAAGAAAGGCCAGGTCAGAAAAGAAGGGACAGCACCGCCACGTAAAGCATATCGTTGTCCCAGACCCGGCTGGGGAAAGACAGCGAGGAGAGCGGAGATGGAAGGCGGGGGCAGGGAGGGGCGGAGGCAGCAGGCCAGCAGGCCACAGGCTGGCAGAGCCCGGAGGCGGGCGCGAGCGTGGGCCAGGAGGCCGAGGAGCGGGTCGGAAATGCTCCTCGGTGGCTCTAGGGGGAGCCCCCAGCCTAGGCTGCCTTCCTCTTCCCCCACACCGCCCCGGGCTGTCCCCGCCTCCTCCGGCTCTCCCCTCCCCACTACCCAGGAAGAGCGTGCGGGTTGCGAGCGCTGCTTTCGCTTTCCCTTCCCCGTGCCCACTCCTGGCTCCTCGTGCGGCGCTGGGCCCCTATCCCGGCCATGGCCACGCTCAGGGTCCAGCCTGAAGCCCAAGCCAAGGTGAGCGCAGCGCATTCCAGGAGGGGCTCGCCGGGGGCGTGGCACCGAGGGGCTGAGGGCTTCGCAGACTAGCCCCGGCTCTGGCCGGGGGCCTCCGCTGAGTCCGTGTGCCCTGGGCACCTGTTCTCCGGGGGAGAGGCGAGGCTGCCTTGGTTCAGCGGAGTGAGGTGGAGCGGGGAGCTGGCGTGAAGTGGAACCGGGCGCCGGCCTCAGGGCCCACACAGAGCGCTGACGGGACTGCCCCTGCCACCTTGTGGTTTCTCTTAGGTGGAGTTCCCGGGGCCCACTCCACAGGGCACCCACAGAGGGCCCTCTTAACACCTCTCATACAACCCTTATACCCCAAGAATGTATTCACATGGACCACTCACCATTCACCATGGGGAATGTTCTTATCCACAAATCCAGCCCGACAAGGATCCACTCTACCCTCTCCAGATCCAGGTTTCCCTCACCGCAGTCCACCCTCACAGGGACCCATCTCACCTTCTTTAGGTGTGGCCTTAACAGGGACCCACTTCTCTCTTCCTCGGGTCAGGCCCTACACAATCCTAAGAAAACTGTTCTCAAATGAACTGGCCTAGAGCCAGGTTTCTGAAGGATTGCCTGTGCCCCACAGGTGGATGTGTTTCGTGAAGATCTGTGCACCAAGGTAAGAGTTGCCATCACTACCCCTACCCAACTCCCTCCCTCCCTGTTGAGGCAGTGTCACCCTGCACTCACTGTCTAGGAAAAGCGTGTGATCTGACCCTTGACGTCTTCAACCTCCACTCAGGCAGAGAACCTGCTCGGGAGCTATTTCCCCAAGAAGATTTCTGAGCTGGATGCATTTTTAAAGGTATCAGTGGTGAGGCAGGAAGTGAGAGGGCAAGAGGAAAGTATGGGAGACCATGAGAGTGAGGAGGTAAGAGGGGCCTCATTTTCAGCCTATGCTCCCACCCTATGCTAGGAGCCAGCTCTCAATGAAATCAACCTGAACAATCTGAAGGCCCCCCTGGACATTCCAATTCCTGATCCAGCCAAAGAGAAAGAGAAAGAGGAGCGAAAGAAACAGCAGGAGGCAAGGCAGGACCTGGGAGGAAGGGCCCAACCATGGGAAAGAGCCCTAGCCCTGTCTCTCATATGCCCCTCTCCCTGCAGAAGGAAGACAAGAGTGAAAAGAAGAAAGGGGAAGATGAAGACAAAGGTACTTGAAACTTCTGTGGTGGGGAGACTGGGGTCTCCACCCTGGCCCTAAAGATTCCTTTCCACTCTCCGTCACCTTCACACAGGCTCATTTGTGGAACTGACCTACTGCCTACTCTCTAGGTCCTCCCTGTGGCCCAGTAAACTGTAATGAGAAAATTGTAGTCCTCCTGCAGCGCCTGAAGCCTGAGATCAAGGATGTTATTGAGCAGCTCAACCTGGTAAGCCCTCCTACTTCCACCCCCAGGCTTCAGGTTGAATCCTTTGTCCCCGTATCACTGCCAGTTAGGGCATGGTACTTGCTAGGTCTTGGCAGGAGAGGGCACCTCAAGTGAAGCTAACAGTCCAGGCCCTGGGGTTCAAGATGACCTGGCATTCTTCCATCCCACATGGGCAGGGATGCAAGGGACAATGGAAACCTGGGCATTGGCTGATGTAGTTTTGATGCCACACACCCCCCCCCCCAGGTCACTACTTGGTTGCAGCTACAGATACCTCGGATTGAGGATGGAAATAATTTTGGAGTGGCTGTTCAGGTAGGAGCACTGCCCCCCTACTCCCATGTCCTGCTGTGTAATCCATGCTTCCTTCTACTCCCCTTAAGCTTTCCTCCAAACTTCCTTTCCCAGGAGAAAGTGTTTGAACTGATGACCAGCCTTCACACAAAGCTAGAAGGCTTCCACACTCAAATCTCTAAGTGAGTAACTAGTCACCTGCACCCTCCTGCACTCTGGCCTGCTTGGGAAGAGCTCTGGAATTCCTCCTCCTTCTGCTCCATACACGCTGTTTCCACTTTCCACAGATATTTCTCTGAGCGTGGTGATGCAGTAACCAAAGCAGCCAAGCAGCCCCACGTGGTAAGCAACACCAAAGTCAGGGATCACAGGGGTGGGACATATTTCAAGTCAGTCCTGACTCCCAAGTTTCCACAGGGTGATTATCGGCAGCTGGTGCATGAGCTGGATGAGGCAGAGTATCGGGACATCCGGCTGATGGTCATGGAGATCCGCAATGCTTATGTGAGGAGGCAAGGGCAAGGGAGGGCATGGCAGGGTTGGGCTGAGGCACCTGTCCCAGGGCCCCTACTCACTGATCCTGCAGGCTGCAGGCAAAGGATAGCAAAACCTAGCCTCTCCACAAGGCTAGAAATGGGGCAGAGAACTCAGCGGCCTGTGGCTGACACCCACTGCACCCTGGCTTTGTAGGCTGTGTTATATGACATCATCCTGAAGAACTTTGAGAAGCTCAAGAAGCCCCGAGGAGAAACAAAAGGAATGATCTACTGAGGGCCTCTGCTGTCACTGTGATGGGTATAACAGAGATTGACCTTTTCTACTGGGGACTCCAGACCTTCCCCTATCTTCCTCCTGTTGAGGTTTCTCCCTCACTTGGTCTCCTAAGCACAATAAATACAGTCATATGGTTGCCCACCAGCCCAAGTCTCTTTATTGGATCCTGGCCTCCCTGACCCTAGCTCAGGTATTTCCATTGGTGCGACCAACCCACTGGATGATTTGGCTGTTGAGCTGCTGGTTGGTCCAGTCCTGCCGGATGTCATCAAGGTGGCAGTCAAAGTCCACAAGGTGCTGGTGGGCCCGGCTCTCCAGTAGTGTTCCCACCATCTGCCGTGACTCATCCCAGTCCCTCCACATCACTCTGAAACAGAAAACTCTATGTGCACACCCATAATCCCAGCTGCTTAGGAGGCAAAGGCAAGAGGATCACAAGCTTGAGGCAAGCCAAATGAGATCCTGCCTCAAAATCAGAAAGAGGTGGAGATGTAGCTCAGTGTTTGCTAGATTCAGTCCCCAGTACGGAAGAAAGAAAAAAGGAGGGTGGAAGGGAGGGAAGGAGGGGAAACAGGAAGAGAAGGAGAGAAGACAAGAAAGGAAGGACTATAGAGGTTCAACAGTGGGCAGTAGGGTCAGACAGACTTTACAGAGGTTGGGTCTGGACCTGGACCACGAACAGGGAAGGCCCAGGAGCCATGGGCTTCGAAACCAGGTAGAAGAAATGCAGCACTCACAAGTTCTTGTCTTTGGGGACCCAATGGAGACCTTGATTCTCCAGGACAATAACTGGAGGCACACGAGGCTGAGGCACCAGTTTCTTATTATCTAACTAGGTGAACAAAGAAAAGCAGCTGAAAGCTTCAAGGATCCTCCTTACTTTTCTCTACCTCCCACCCCAAAACCTCAGCCTCACCATAATAAGTACCGCATCAGGGAAGAATTCTGCAATTCGCCCAGCGATTTTCAAGGCCAGTGGCCCAGGGCTGTGTAGAGGGAAGATTAGAGGAGTGAGGATTTGACCATGGACAGACCCCAGACATCTGAGCTGTGCCTCCCAGATCCCATGGATCTGGGCGCAGTCACGGATTTTCCCTGTGGCTGGTCTGGGGGGTTGGGCCCCCTCTGTCCTTGATGCATGATTGCTTGATGCTTGTGTGCTATGGAAAACAAGTGCTCAGACATGGCTGGTGAGAGTGGAAATCAAAGGTGGTCTTTTTGGAGGGTAATTTGACATAACCATCCACATTGAAACTATACTATACATATGCTAAACAATAAATTCTATTTATAAAGAATTTACTGTAACAGGATGGTCACAGTAAAAGCCTGGAGACAACCTCAATGTTTAGTGTAAGGTATTAACTTATAATTGATTCATATTCATACTATAATAATTATATAACAATGCTATAATAATTCATACTGTATGCCTGTTAAGGTAGGTCTTGGTGTGGAGCTGGAAAAATGTCAAATATTCATCTATTTATTTTTGCAATACTAAGGACTGATCTGGGGCCTTTGCATTGGGCAACATCATTAGCCCACTTGTTATTTTTATTTTAAAATAGAGTCTCACTAGGTCTCTTAATTGCCCAGGTAGGGCTCAAATTTTCTTTTTCTTTTTTTTTTTTTTTTTGGTCTTTTTCCTTTTTACTGGTACCGGGGAACAAACTCACGACTGCCTGCTTGCAAGGAAGGCTCTTACGCCGCTGAGCTAAACCCCCAGCCCCTGGCTCAAATTTTCTTTCTTTCTTTTTTTTGGGAGGGGGGGTCTTTTTCATTTTTATCAGTACCAGCGATCGAACTCACAACTGCCTGCTTGCAAGGCAGGCACTTATGCCGCTGAGCTAAATCCCCAGCCCCTGGGCTCAAATTTTCAAACCTCCTGTCTCAGCCTTCAGAGTGCTGAGATGACAAGCCTGCACCACCAGGCTTAGCTTTAAATATTTATTAAGTAAGGGGATAACCAAATTACAAAACTAGTATCTATATGTGTTGTGCACATCATGTATTAATATATATAAAGTTGTTTTTAATTGCTAGTTGGGGGCACCTCAATTAAACACGATCATCTTGTCCTTGTTGAGACATACCTGCCATTCTCACCCCCATCACAGCTCCTCCTTTTAAGGAGTCTGGTCTATTCATTCTTGTATTTTATCACTCCAGGGCTCAGCAGTGTCCAGGGTCTGAGGTACACAGACCCTGCTCCTAAGTTTCTGATAAAAAGGAATAACCTTGGTTCATTTGCATCCAGCCCACCCCCACCATAGTCCTTTGCCTTTGGCTATGGATACCACTCACCTCTGGTCGTCCAGAGCTGCATTGGCATGGTAGTACCCAGCCACCACCAGACCAGCCTGCGCACCCCACACATCCACCTGTTGTGGAAAAGGGGCCATCAGTAACTAAATCGCACCGCCGGCTCTGTGGGCACACTGCTGCCAAAGATTTGGCACAAACTTGGGCTAGGGGCGTTAGGGGGCTCGCAATGTGGGTGTGCGTCCTGCGGCGGCACCTGGTTGAGGGCGACTTCCAGCATGACTGACAAGCCCAGGTGACTGTGGAAGAGAGGCACACAGTCGGTGAGGCACAGGCATTGTCCGGACCCCGGCGCTGGAGCCAGCAGCAGCCCGTTGACCGCGGCGTGCGGGTACCGGGCTGCGTGCAGGCACATCTTCACGTAGGCGCGGGCCGAGATCTCCACCTCCCCCATGGCGAGCAGGGACTGCGGGGGTTGCGGCAAGCCGAAGAGCGCGGTTCCCCACCCCCACGTAACCGAGCTCGGCTTTTCTCGTGCCTCTTAGCTCAGGTTCAACGATGACTGCTCCGCGCCACCTCTGCCCCGAACCTGTCCCGTGCACAGCCCACCCAGAGAACTCCAGGGCATCCCGCGACACCCAGCTCCGCCCCCTCGCCGCACCCGTGGTCTCCAGCCGGCAATCGAGCTCAGGTCTGCGCCTGCTCCAGGCAGTACCCGCTGCCGCAGTCCCTCCTACGTCGCCGTACTCTTTTGATAGGCCTAGAAGTTTTCATTGCGTTCAATCAGTGATCATATTGAAGTCTGACCCCGCCTTTACTTCAAGCAAACTAGAGAATACACTATCGTAAGGGAAAGAAAATCCCACGCTTTTCGATTGGCTGGCTGTGCTGCTGATTGCAGAATGCCTTCTCGGCTTGCAAGCCACAGGCCCTAAACCAGCCTGTACCAGTGGACCTTTGAAGGTGGGGACAAAGTGAGCCGCCTTGGGGCATTATTTAGGATGAATGGATCCACACCAGAGCTGTGTTACCTTACCAACTAACTATATAGGTTATCTGGCACTTGATTTCCCTAAGGTAATAACTGCAGCCCATTATTCCATATTTTAAACCAGGTCAAGACCCTGAGTTAAAGAACAATTTCATAGTTATAGCAAAGATCATGGCAGAGGAATCTTTTCCTCTCCACACTCTCAAGTGAAAACGGAAAGGCAGATATATAGATAAATGGCTGAATGAGAGCAAAAAGTCAAAAAGAAAAACTCACAAATCATCCTTAATGCCGTACAGTACATTTCCTTTATCATAATGCTTTTGAAGGACTTTATTCCCCAGCCAGCCCTTGAAGAGTCCAATCATTCATTCACTCTTGTTTTATTAATTTATTATTTATTTTAGTGCTGGGAATTAAATGTACATCCCTAGTCTTTTTTGTTTGGTTTTGGTTTTGGTTTGCTTTGAGACAGGTTCTCCTGAAGTTGCCTAGTCAGAGTTCAAACTTCACAATGACTCCTGCCTCCACACTCAGTCTTCCCAGGGAAATCTCATTTTCCCTCAGGCTGTGTGGAACTGATACATTTCTGTGGACCTCACCTAGAGTTTCCTTTTGTTTCTCCAGTCTGACTATTCCCCAAAAGTCTACCCAAATGTCACCTTTAACATGACACCACCAGGTGGCTATAGCCTAAATTCCAAACTGGAGGTTCTCTGCCTATAGCTGTTAAAAGGCAATCAGTATCTCTGCTTTCCCATTACCACATTTGCCTCAGTGTCTGGCCATGACATTCACAATACAACATACACCAGAGGTGATCCACACAAGGAACAGGTCATTTATTTTCCTCCTAGTCTTGGGTTCAATACATAGATGGCTTCTCCTCACCCTTTGGGTTGACAATTTTCTCCAGGTTGCTGCTGATGATATGATAAAGCTCTGCCTGAAGGAGGGCAGAAGAGCAGGAGTTACGTTCTTGACCTTTCTAACCCCGCTCTACCCATTCCATTAGGGGCTTAATCCCCACTCACATAGAAAGCCCTCAGGTCCAACACCATGGCCCTGAGATTCCCATAGGCTGCCTCATCTCTCTCATGCACCAAAGCCCGGTAATCCATCTGGGATGTGGGAGGCAAAACTGAGTCAGCCCCATGGTAGGCTGGCACATTAGTCTGGTTTCTTCATGTAAGGAATAGGTAACTGGAAGCTAAGTCCCTTCTCAGTGCCAATAAAAAGGATCCCACAGAATCAACAGGGAAAGGTGTCAGGATTGTTGAAGACTAGATTAAATTTTCTAGGCAATTTTCTTTTTCATATATTTTTTCATCATTGATTTGTTTTGTTTTTCTTTCAGTTTTTGAGACAGGGCTCTGTATAGCCCAGGCTGGCCTAGAACTTCAGCGATCCACCTGCCTTAGCCTCCTAAGTGCCAAGATTGTTGTTGTTTGGGGTTAAGTTTTTTTTTTTTAAGCAGGCTACGCTTATGGCTTAATATTCTACACACTAAGAAAGTTGTGAAAAAGACAGAAAAAAGCAAAACAAAACAAAAAAGACAGAAAAAACCTCTTTCCTCTCCCTGTCCTCAGTCCCATCGCTCACCAGCCCTGGGTAAAAGGCTGGGGACTAGGCACTTACTACATGGGTCTCCTTGGAGGCCTTGGCCACAGCATCCCCACGTTCTGAGAAGTACCTGCCGGAACAAGGAGTACAGGAACATGTTTAGGGAGAGGATTAGAATGCACACACCTTCCCAGTGTCTCCCATCATCTTGATGGGATGGTCTAACTTTAGGAGTACCAAAGAAGTGTCCCAGTAGGCCCCAGGCAGATCCTCCAGCGCTCTCACCCAGAAATGGTTGTCTGGAAGGCTTCTACTTTGGTCTTGACTGCATTTACCCTTTCCAGAACTTTCTCCTGTGGTGACATAAGGGGCAAAGAAAACACTTCATCTCATCCCTTCACTTGCTCTCTCCTTCCTCACAGATCACACCTGCTACTTATTAGGTCCAAGTCTCCTACCCCCAATACTGGGGACTGACCTCAAGGCCTCATGCATGCTAGACAAGCATTTTGCCACTGAGCTATATCTCTAGTCTTTTACTTCTCTCTCTTTCTTTCTTTCTTTTTTTTTTTGAGAGGACTATTAAATTGCCCAAACTGACCTCAAACATGCATTCTTCCTACCTCAGCCACCCAAGTAACTGGAATTACACAGATCCACCACCATGCTCATCCCCCTTCAACCTTTTCCTACCTGGATTGCTACCCCAAAATCATTTCCATCCTCAATCTTGGGGATCAGGTGCTGGATCCACGCAATCACCTATGGTAAAGAGAAGGAATCAGTCAGTCAACCTACTAGGTTCTTCCTATAATGCCACTTTCTAAAAATTGAGCATTTATTATGTGCCTAGCATTGTTCAATGAATTATGTATGTCATTTAATTATCACAGTAAACATGTAAGGTATTCTTATTGTACCCATTTAACAGACAAAACAATTGAGTCACAGAATGTCTAAGTGACTTTAAGGATATCAGCTAGGTAAATAAAAAAAAAAAAAAACCTCCCTCTAGAACCCAAGATTTTATTTGTGTTTTTTGTTTTTGTGGTGCTGGAGATCAAACCCAGGGCCTTGTGCATGCAAGGCAAGAACTCTATCACTGAGCCACATACCCAGCCCAAACCAAGGTTTTAAACCAACTCACTATATCATATCATTTGACTGTGTAGCTGGTACAGCAGTAGGTTCTAGAGTTATGGAAGTAGATATAGCATAGTCTCTGATTCCAAGAGTACCGCTATAATATGGGGTCCAAATGAAAAAGAAAATAATTATGAAAAAATATAATACAAGGTCTAACAGAGTAAGGGAAATAGGCTCTAAACCCAAGACACAAAAAGAAATATCCTTGCTGAGGAGTAGGTCACCGAATGATGAATTTGGATCCCTATGGGCTATCAGGACTGGACCTTGCTTGTCTTTTTTTTTCTCATTACCACAGATCCCCAGCTTACCAGAATGCATTTCTCTTTGAGAGTCCATACTTCTGGCTTAACCAGAGCAAGCAGAGCCAGGAGCTTCTCATTCCCAGGGAGAAAGCCACACTTAGGGACTGTGAGAAAGGGGGAATTCAAGTCCTTTATCATTTAGTTGTTAATGTGCCCTTTCCCCATCCCTAGCCATCCCCTCTTCCACTACCTTCTTTCTTTTCCTGCTTATCTGTTTCCATCTAGGGCAAAAAGGGGGAAAGCAGTTTAGAAAAGTCACTGAGGTTAAAGGGCTATCATTTTCTGGGCTGAGAGCCCTGAACCCTGAGTGCCTCACCTCATCATCCTTGGGTGGAGGGTCTGGGATAGGGATGTCCAGTGGAGCCCGAAGGCAGGTCAGATCTGCCACATTGAGGGAGTCCTCCTGCACAGAGTTCACTGTCAGTGTTACCCAGCTCTTTCTTCTCACCTGAGTCACAGCCTTCTCTCCACACATTCCATCTGCCCTCCACCTCCCAGCCTAGGCTCAAGCTTGTACCATGCTAACATCCTCAATTCAAATTCACAACTGTTCTGGAGTGCTGAACCTGCAGTTAAGCTTCAGAGTGTGGGCAAGGAAGGTGGTCATAGGATGGGACAGAAAGGGCCCGTACTACTCACGTGCAAAAGCTGACTCAGGTATATGATTTTCTGTGGCAAAAATCTGTAGAGGAATTCTTCAGCCTGTAGGTTACATTATATATGTGAGAAGTGAGACTGAACTGCCTTTAGAAATCACTGAGACCCAGACTTACAAACCAGGAAACTGAAGCCCTGGAAATGCAGGGACTTGCCCAAGCAGGTAGGTGGCATAACTAAGTTTAGAACATGGTATTCCTGCTGTGGGGGCCTTGGCTTTACCCCATCAAAAGACAGGAGAGGAAGTGGCAGAAGTGGGGTAAGTTTTAAGAGGAGTCAGGTTAAAAGAAGAAATCAGTAAGAGCTTGTCTTGGGTAAAAGCTTGGTAAAGCAAATAGTGACCAAGTCTAGGATGAGTTTGGGGGTTACTCTGTGAGCTTGTGATGTTTAAGTACTGCTCTAAGATAAATTGTTTGAATTTGTAATGACTTACCTCCTGGAAAAGATTTTGTCTGAAGACATCTACCTGCACAGAGACCAGTACCCGGATGTTGGTTAAGCGTTTCAGTTGCCAAGAGTAATAACCCGCCCCCAACAGGATGCACTCCAACTATGTCTCAGGTTTTTCCCACAAGCTAGTTTTCCCTGAAAGCTTCTGCTCAGTGTGGACACTAGGCACAGGGCAGAAATCTGTGAACACCGGGGAGAAGTGAAAGCACTCAAGAGAGGTTAGGGAGAGTTCTCCGAAATAGCCTCGGCTCCATGGAGCACCCAGCTTGGCTTCCATTAGGAGGGCTCCCTTTCCCCTCCCTTGTCTCCGGCTCCCTTTACCTGTTTGCGGGCCTCCTCGCTCAGGCGCACCCCACAAGGCTTGGCCATGCTGTTCCCCTTGCTAGATCGCCGGGTTAGCGGCTCTGGCTTTCGCTTTCACTCCCCAGGGCCAGGCCCACCCCCTTCGGCCCCGCCCACTTTCTCCTTTTCCCTTTCCCCTGGCCAGTTGCAAACCGTAGGTCGCCCCATTCCCAGACAGTTGCCACTAGGAGGAGCGGTGGGCTGGGTTACAAACCCAGGGGCTGTCCGAGGGAGGGACGAGGGAGAGTGAGGCCGCGGAGACTTGGACAGGGGCTGTCCCTTTAAGACCGGAAGGGCTTGTAGCGAGCGCCGTCTAGCGGAAATCCAGGGTTGGGATGAGCGGGGCGGGGAGAATGGAAAAGGAAATATGCAGCCGCCCAGGTCTCCCCAAAAGCTCAACTGCAAGGAGGGAATTGAGAGATCCAAGCGAGTAGGAGGGGCATTAGGGCAGGGTCTGGAGCCGGCAAGGCGTAGGATGTGAAAGAGGACAGGCCTCGGGGACTTTCCTAAAAGGGCGCCTTGCTTCGAAGACCTCTCTTAGCCGGGTTAAGTGCAGCCAGTGTCGAACCCCCAGCAGTGAGCGACTTTCCTGGTGGGGATAGAGAGAGCGGAAGGGATTAAGCAAAACAGACTAATCGCTCGCCCGCGAGCCGGGGTGGGCTGCCCGGAAGGGGCGGGGCCGGGAGACAGGCGGGGTAGAGCTCTGGAATTGGAGAAATACGCTGGCCGTGCGGAGGGAGGAGCCAGGGCCTGTTTACTTCCTTATTGGTTGGTACCCGGCCCTTCACGATCACGCCTCCTGGTTCTTGACCGCCCCTTTCCTTGCCACTAAGCCCCTCCTCTTCCTTTGAGACAGGCTCGCAGTCCCGCCCTCGTCTCCCTGGACTTCCTGTTCCCGGCTAATCTTGACGCTGGACTCGGGAGTAGTGACCGTGGCTTGAGTGACCCCCGCGGCGGCTGCGGAAAGCGAGTCAGGCCGCAAAGCGTACAGAAAGCGGGCGGGGTGGCTCTCGGACCGCGCGCAGCCGGTGCTGGGTCTGGGTGGACGGCGAGACTGGGGCTGACTCCTGTCTCGGGATGCCGGGGGAGGAGGAACAAGCCTTCCTGGCCACCCGCGAGAAGCTGGCGAGCGCCCTGAGAAAGGATTCTGCACAGA